AATCCTCAATAACAAAACATCTTGTGGATTACGGACATGATATCGACTCGGTCAAGTCATTCACTATTGTCAGCAGACAAAGAAACAAGAAGATGCTTGCAACTGTGGAGGCTTGTGCAATTCGAGTTTATAAACCAGGTCTTTGTGTACAAAAGGAGATGGTCGTGACTCTGAATCTACCATGGTAATACGTTTTACTTGTTATTCTACCTCTTATTATTATTTTATTATTACTATTATTATTCTCATTATTATTATTCTTGATTCATTTAAAACTATCCTTTATCAGTAGCATTATCTTAACTCACTTCAACACTATTATTATTATTGTTATTATAACTATTACTATTGACATCCCTCTGGTTGCAATTCTTGTTAAATTCTCTAATGTCTAATTGTTTATCTAAGTGATGTAATTGAAGCGTAATGCAATTTATCTTAATTTTGATCTTCCATTCTCTCTCTCCCCTTATCTAATTTAACATGACCTGGAAAAACATTCGCACCTGTCTTTCTGCATGACTAATTCAACGTAGTTTGTTTACTTATCAGTCCTATATCTCCCAATGTAATTTCAAAACTATATATATCCGTGTATGTAAAGTATTCAGTCCTATATCTCCCAATGTAATTTCAAAAGTATGTATATCCACGTATGTAGAGTATTCAGCTGACGAGTTCTACCGAAATTTGATGAATTCATTAAATCCTGCTTTATTAACCTTTATTGCTTGTTTTAAATTCGTTTCGGGAAATAAATGTTTCTAACTGTGTAATTTGCGAACGACTGGTTTCAAATAAAACAACTCATCACTTAATTTCAACGAGTTCATTCTCCCTAGTGCTTTTACACTTGAATCATCGAGTACTCCGAAAACAGTGCCAGTAAACAGTCATCCAATGACTCACAACGCTTCTCAAACTCACATACTTCCGTGATTGCATATCTTTTTGAATCCCACAGTTTACTTATTGTCTAGAACAGCAGAACTTTCAACGTAAATCATAACTCTCAGCTTGACTGTATTAAGATGAACAGCTTTCTATCAGGAATTAGCAAATGGTCTTCGTCTAACGGCCTTAAACTTAATCCTTCCAAATGTCAGACTGTCAATTTCAATTTCCGATGTAAACGAAAGTTAAATGAAGTCGTTGGTTCATATGACCCTTGCAAAATTTATGATATTGATATAGAAACCAAGTCTGAAGTTAAGTATCTTGGATTAGTTCTCTCTTCTGACCTATCCTGGTCTTCTCATGTCTTAGCGATTTCTAAAAGAATATTTCGTTTGACTTTTTACATTGAGAAGTTAAGGTACTCAGGCATAACTCAACCACTCCTCTTACAGTTTATCAACTCGTGTATTTTACCTATTCTTCCTTACTGTTCACCATTATTCTTTCCTGGATTGCTAAAAAAGGACTATGTCATACTTCGTAGAACTCTGAAGACTGTCAGTAGGACGAGTGGTATCCCATTGGGCCATATCGTTGACATCGTCATTGATAGGCACTTGATTTTTTTGTCAGACTGTGACCATCCATCACAGCACCCGCAGCTCCAACTTTGTGTCTCCTCAGATAAAACCAGAAATCTTCTCAGAAGACTTGATGCACGTATAAGTATAAAAATTCCACTATACCATATTTAGCACGTACTTTATGTGATGAAAATAGTGTCAGACATGAACTAACTAACCTTCTTAGCATCACTAAATAAACCATTTCCTTCACGCTTAAAGCATTAAACTTTATTGCTATTGTATGTCTTATATTTATAATCCTCTCAATTTTTTCGTTTTGTTTATTTTTTTCATTAGCGTGGACATCATTTAAGCTGTGTTATGACGGTTAATTTTGTATTTCCCCTCACCATGCTTCTATATGAACAGAACATGAGATCCAATAATCTATAACATGCTAAAGTTTTCAAACTGAATCGACAATACCATTTGAAACAAACTCACTGTTATTATTATTTATTATTATTATTATATCTAATAATTATGTCGTAAATGTGGACAAATTTCTCCTATTAATTTTTGTTTTAATTTTTAATTTTATATACATTTTGAGTAAATCAGATGGAATATTGTGACAAATACTGAGAATTCCATTCTGTATTATAAGTACTGTCTGTTTTGGAATAAAGTAGATTATTATTATTATTATTAACCAGTGGTCCAACTCCACTTGATCTGTGCATATAACTATGAGAAACAGATGGAGAAGACGTATCTGTATATGAAGTGTGACAATAAAAGGATAGTTATGCATCATGTATTCACGTGACAGCTGGACATTCCGCCTGATGGTTGCAGTGACACAAAATCTTTGTTTCCACTGTACCTCCTTGCGAAACATCTACATGCTAAGTACTGTCATCTGATTGGCTGTTGCATAGACAAGCCTTGCAGTAATATGCACTGAATTCTACTCTCTGTTCGTGTCAATAGTCGTGGGAAGCATATTACCTGGTTAGGCCTCTTTCTTACTCACTGGTTCCAATGGATGTCAACTACTGGGACATCAGATAAATGCCGAACAATCGATACGAGACTATCGTGTGAATTCTAGCTTGGTGTCTCACCGTCATAGAATCATACGGCGATAGGTAGGTAGGCGGTATGAGTGCGGTGATTGGTTATTCATGTATGTTGGATTAGGAGTTAGCTGTCATCGTGAAATTAGTATTCGGTACTAAATAGACACGTCTGTGTAAACGGAAGCTTTCACTGAGGATGTTTTATTCAATGGAGCAGCGGCAAGTGATCATTTGTGTGGTTAGCTCATAATAAGTTTTCCAGGGAGTAAATCTGTGAAGTCTCAATGTGGAACGTTGTTGAATATTGTTATTCGATAATATAATGTCTAATATTATTATTATTGTTCCCTTGGGTTCTTAGTGGAACATAGGGCTTCAACTGCACGCCTCCACTTGCTTCTGTCTTCTGCTGTACTTTTCACTTGCATCCATGTTAATCCATAATGTTTCAATTCCTCTTCACACGATCTCCTCCATGTCACCCTTCGACGTCCCACTCACCGCTTCCCTTTCGGGTTCCACTCGAGCACTGACCTGACGCGCGATGTCACCCAGCAGTCTCCTCAGCTCAGTGAGTGTCCAATCCATCTCCACTTTCTCCTGCATATTTGTTAGGCGATTGGTTCTTGTTTTCTTTGTTCCCATCGTTTCTTGTTCGTGATTCTTTCCGGCCATCTGATCTTCAGTATAGAACGAAGACAGTTGTTGTTGATAAAGGTCTGCAGCAGGCTGTTGGAAATATTCTTTGTGACCAACCAAGTTTCTGATCCATCCGTATAGAAGAACTGACTGACTTGACGTTTGTATTGAAAATCCGAATTTTGTTGTTGATGCAGGCTGAGTGACGAAGATTTCCTGACTGGTTTCAGGTTGATGAATGTGTTTCTCGCCTTCCCGATTCTCGATTTGACATCCTCCTCGTCCGTTCCTCCTGTAGTTGAGACAATGCTCCCTAGATAAGTGAATGAAGTAGCCTCTTTCAAATCCCTCCCGTTGATGGTGATTGGCGCTGGATGTTGCTGCTGTTGTTGGTTGGTTGGTTATTTTCATAACCTCCGTCTTGTCTATGTTCACCTGGAGTCCTGTCTTTGCTGCTTCTTCGACCAGTTTGTCGGTTTTCGCTTGTAAGTCTTCGATTTTGTGTGACACCAAACATAAATCATCTGCGAAATCCAGGGCTTCTAGGTTCTTCACGTCGGTCCAGGATATCCCTGTCTTCCCATTTCCCACTGTCTGACGCATAATCCAGTCCACCACAATTAGGAATATCATTGGTGATAAGTATAATGTCTGGTGTTGGTAAAATTGACTAAAATGTGGGCGTCAATTCGGACACCACTCAGTGTGTGTTTAAATAATGAAATTGCTTATCACATTCGTGTTGATTTTGTCACTTCATGGAAGAGGAGTGTGCTGTAACCAGGTAAAATTCTAATTGTGTCTAGAAAGTAAAATGCCTGCTTGGAATGTGATGAGATATACATCGGACAAACATCGCTAGACAAAAATCAAAATCAGAAGAAATGAGCACCTTAGAGCCGTATCTGTTCGACCACTGAGAAAACCAGTTGAACTGGAGAAGCTTGAAAAACCATCAGCCAGCCATAGCTTGTCTACACGCTATAGAGTCAGGCCACAAATTTTGATTTTGACGATAGTGAAATCATCATCCAGAAAAAGCATTTCAGAAATCACATAGAACGTCTAATATCAGAAGCATTTCATCTCAAATGGAATCCAAATTGTCTGAATAGGAATGATGGTATAAAACAGAATTTCACCTGGTTACAACACCCCATTTCCCCATGAAATGACAAAATCAAGACTGATGTGATAATCAATTTCATTGTATAAACACACGGTGCTTTTACAATTTTACACACTTATCAAATCGAACAATCTACACCTGGTTTTATTAGCTTTACCAGTCGGCAAACTTGACAACGCAAAACGACCCCATGTTGAGGAACGATGATTAAGTTGTTATATATAAGCTGAGATTTTGTAAATTCTGGTTTAATATTACTACTTTGATAAAGCTATTAGCAGCATTAAATAGCGAAACATCAGTAAAAACAAAAATATCGTTTTGTTTTTACATTCATTAGGAAATACAAAACACCTTTATTATAATGAATATCAAATACTCAATGCCCTAAGTTTTTTCGAACTTTAAAAGTGAACTTGGTTTGGACATATATAATCTAACACTTCTCCGTACGTTGTGATAGTCACCTAGTTCCACTGCTTCACTCTAATCATCAGTCGGTTTGAGGTGATTGGTGCGCTGCTTTGTGTGACGTCTCACAGCTTAACTTTGCCGAATTGACTTCTCTTTCTCATCTCTGTCCAGTGTGGATCGCATTCTCTCCACTTCCCCCTCATGTAGTTATTCTAATCACACTTCATTATTATCAACACAAAACAGAGTTGCTCTACAGTCAACCAATCAATCAACGAATCAATCAATCCAGCAAACAGACGAATGCAATTGATCAATTTCATAGTGGTCAATAGAACAGCATAGAAGCAGAAGTATATCACCGAAGTGTATGTATGTTTGTATGTGTGCATATATCACAGGAGTCACATGGTCTCAACATGGTAGCAGCTAAGACAACCAGTAGATCCAATTAATGAATAATGCTGTTATTGATCCAACATGTCTACCTGGCTAAATGCGAACAAGAATTCAAAGACACTGATCACGTCAAGGTTATTTCTCTCATATTAGCCAATCAAAGAAATGTGCACGCACTAACTACACGTTCACAGATTCATTGGCTAACAAAGAGAAATAACCATACCACAGTGAATTTCATCGAACCAGTGTCTGCCATAACACCAGTCAGTACTTAGTGGACTCACTAATATTCATCACTTGATATCTATCTGGTGAGTAGTTTGTTTAGCCGTTCATGTGTGTGTGTAATCTTGCATGCATTTTTGAAGTAGACATTTATTTAGAGTGTATGGACTGTGGTGTTTTCATCATGATTGCATCTTTTAAATACTGACTTAAGAGGTCGACTGAAAGAATGACAAGGCAAGTGAACGACGAACTGAACGACTATGGAAAATCAGGCAAATCGTCGGTGTTTTAGCATTCACTCCGAAGCCTCTCAACTGAGAGTGAGGCGAATGATTCAGGGTGATGATGGGATTGGGATTAGTGTCTGGTTGGATTTATGTTTAGCATTTCGATTTAGAGCCGATTCAGTGGAACTCACACTTCAAACCTTCTCAGTATGGTTGAATCTATTTCCATCGACTCATTGGCTTTAAAATATTTTCGAGTATTGGTTTTGTGGAGATTTTGTTTGATTGGATCTGTCGCTCACTAGCGACAGGCCCTATACAGGTTACAGTTACCTAAGGTTCTAGTGGGAAGCCGTGACCAGTAGGGTACAGCAGGTTGAAGATGAGGCAGTAACTCATCGAAGAAGACATCGCGAAATTGTCGCGCTATGTCATGAATTAGCAGAAGTTATAATTCATGGGCTGGCTGGCTATTGGATCGGGTCCCAGTGAGTGACTGCTTAATGGTCTAGGAACCAGGATGTCCTGGTTCCGAAACCTGTCGGTGGGTGCATACTGATGAAGAGTCCCAAATTAGACTAACAAAACAGCTGGCTGTCTGGCAGTACTCCCAGCTGGTTTTCCAGTGGTTCTCCAACTGATGTGACCTCATGATGAAATCCTCCGACCAATCAAACAAAATCCCTACAAAACCAATACTTTAAAATATTTCTCTAATTTATATATGTGTTTATATGTCAAAACCAAGTTCACTTTTAACAGTTCGAAAATAATTTGGGCATTAGGCATATGATATTCATTATAATAAAGGTGTTTTGTATCGCCCAATGAATGAAATGCAAATCGATATTGTTGTGTTGACTGACGTTTCCTAATTTGATGCTGCTAATGGCTTCATCAGGGTAGTAATATTGAACCGGAATCTACGAAATCTCAGCTCATATGTAACAAGTGAATCACCGCTCATCAACATGAGGTGATATGTATGTTGTCAGAATCGGCCACTTGGTAGAGATAAGCAAACGATGTGTAGATTGGTGCATTTGGTAAGCGTATGAAATTATAAGAGGAGCATGTGTTGACATGATGAAATTGCTTATCACATTCGTGTTGATTTTGTGATATCATGGGTGAGTGGGTTGCTGTATAACCAGGGGAATTTCTGTTTTAGTCCATCATTCCTCTTCAGACAATTTGGATTCAGTTGAATATGACGTGATGACAGCATTCCACTTCCCCAAGTTAATTTCCGCTTTCAACTGTTGAGGACACATAGGCTTACTGACTAACGGAAGGCTTTGTTTGACGAACACGCCTCATTTCGTCTTCCTAATTCGAGTGAACAATTTTTGGGCTTTGATGTTTCTCTGTGAAACGCACTGAGTTTCCGTGTTAGGTTGCCCAGCCTCACGGTCAAACATCGTGTTTTGTGGGCTTCACTCGATTATTTAACTAGCGGACTATTAGACCAGGCGAGGTTATTTGTGTTACTTACCTATAACTAGACGAAGCAATAAGAAGACGTAATTTGTCTGAATCGTATGATGTATTTGCGCAACACACATTTCGAACAATCTGATCCAACTCACACGGACTTGACATTAGAATATATATGAAATTAATATGGAGTGGAGAGGTGAGCAGACAGACTGAGGTCAAGTTGAAAGGACATACTGAAGGTTGAAATACCAATGAAGATCACTAAACGAGAGAAGGGAGGTAATAGTATATCTGACCTGGCTGGTATCACAACAAAGTTTACCAAGGAGAGTTTAATGTTACGACGAATTAGTTTTGAACGTATGAAGGTGGTTCAGACTTTCTAATTGCCAGCTAGGGCTTCCACAAACTCTTGGAAATGCCCCAAACACCTCTCATTGATAGACTTAAAAGAGGTGCAAACATCGATTGTATGTCCTATCTGCTTTGTAATATGTTTCGCAATAGAGGAGCTGGGTCATCTCTTCTCACCATTAATGCCTTCTGGATATTCCATTCGCTTGTGAAGCCAGCCCTTGGTCGCGAAGATCGATGAGTCCCCCCTATTTGTGTGTGTGTGTCCACACGTACATTCAAATTGGTTAACTACAGTGGGATGTGACATGATTTCCCACAGGTTCTAATCGCTTAGATGGATATATGGGATTCATATTCAAGCGGACTATTAGACAAGACGAGGTTATTTGTAGTATGTATATCTGTCTCACACAAGTGAATACAACTCGCACACTCACACTCACTCATATCCACCTCATGGAACTTACACTCTCTTGATTATAACTATATCAACATGCCACTTATTTGTTATTCACATTTCATCTGAAATTCCCAATCACAGTAAGTTTTATACACATTCAATAAACAATGTTATATGATAACTCGATGATAGTTCTGCTGGCTGTATAACCTGAACGTATGTTGTCACGTGAATGAATAACAGACCACTTGCAGGCAGGCGAATTCGATGAGTGTACGAATCATGAGAACGCAGCGAGTGTGATTACCTGAAGCCCGATAGGTACCTAGTTGTTTGGTAGAGTGTTGCGAGGTCTCCTTTGCATGCACTGCAGCTTGTTCTGCTTCACTTGCCATGGCTTCATAATACTTTCTTTTGTCTTCTCTGGAACTCTTCTTTACTCTTGTGTTCAGTGTCTTGTAGCTTGCATTCAACTCCTGTTTTTGTTGCTCGTCGGTGCACTGGAGAATCTTTTGTTTCACAATCCTTCTCTCTTCTATTAATCTCCAAGTGTCCGTAGTGAGCCTCTATTTGTCATGTCTCTTCTTTTCTGCCTAGAACTTCCATGCAGGTTTGATTCAACACCGCTTTCAGGTTGTCCCAGTGCTTCTCAACGCTGACCTCTTCGGTAGTGTTGATTTGTGTCTCGACCTTTTCCCTTATGTTTGCAGTGAAGATGTCCTTTGTGTCCTGGTCCTTCAGTTTTTGAGTATTGAACTTGGCTTGTGGTCTATCTGCAGCTCCCGTTTCTCTGAAAGCTTTTAGTTTGATTTGGATTGTCCCTTGTACGAGATAGTGGTCTGAGCCAACGTTTGCTCCTCTTCTTACTTTCGTGTCCAGTAGGCTACGCCTCCACTTCCTTGAGATTGAAATGAAGTCGATTTGGTTTTTGGTTCGCCCATCTGGTGACACCCATGTAGCCTTGTGGATATCCTTGTGTTTGTATACGCTGCCACCAATCACTAGGTCATTGAAGGCGCAGAAGTCGGCGAAGAGTTCTCCGTTTTCATTCATTTCACCGACAGCTTCTCTACCCGAGATGAGTTCCCTTCCTGGTGTTGTCTGGTCCCAATTTGGCGTTCATGTCTCCCATTAGTATTTTAATGTCGCCGACTGGAGTATTATCCATTGTTGCCTGTAGTTGTCTGTAGAATTCTTCTTTCTTTTCGATGTCTGCGTTGTTTGTCGGTGCATACATAGCATTGTATAATTGACACTTTCCTTCCTTTGGAGTTGAATCTGGCGGTTATTATCCTGGGTGAGATCGCCTCACATTCCATTAGTGCCTTCGTTGCCGTTGGTGACATCATGATAGCCATGCCATCGGTGTGTATGTGGTTATCCTCTAGGTGACCGGAGTAGATCACTGACTCACCCGTTGACAATTTGGTGAGTCCATTCCCATTCCATCTGCTTTCACATATCCCCAGTACTTGAATTGTGTATGTAAGATACAGTGCTCAGAGTGGGATACAACGTGTATTGGGGGGGGGGGAATTTCTAGACAAATCCACGTCAGAGGAGAAGATGAAACAAACTGAGATATTGTGAATTCTGGTTAACTATCGACTTGATAAAAGGAAGATATTAGTGACATTGGATAACACAACAACAGTAGAAGAGACATCGTATTGATTTTCACTCATTATTCAGCACTGATTACACAAGTGACAAACGAGCAGTAATTTTCACGATTTCAGTCTTACAGTAACAAGTCAATAATCTAGAGTCACCATGTACGATGAAGGAAATTTGGTAGTTGAAACTGTTTCAAAACATGCTTGTTTATGCTTCCTTTTTTTTTCCTTCACGTTCCTCAGTGGGACATAGGGCTTCAAGCTAGTGGCTTGAAGTTTCTGTAGCAGTGTTTATTTTACAGGATGGGGTTCCTAACCTCATGCCCAACCTTCCCTCTTTACAAGTCTTATTACTGTCTTAGCGAGGTAAGAAAGTGAGTCGGCCGGGGATCGAACCCCGGACCATGTGCATGTGCTTGCATACGTATCCCTATATTCTCCATTTCTTGTGTATAATACGAATCGCTTTTTCAGTAACTGTAAACTCATTCCTCTTGGAAACTTCCACATTAGACGAAAGATCTAGTCTTGAGTACATTTCCATTTGTCTGCATGATATCAACAGATTATTCAAAGATATTAAGAGACAATATAGACTTCGACGTGAACCGATATAAATTAGCGAATTATTGAAGACGATTGGGCACTAAGCAATTGTGTGCTTCAATGCCTCCACCACGAATGGAAACAGGAACCCTAAGGTAACGACTGAAGGCCACTGATAATTCGACAACTAGGTTGGCATCCAATGACCCGTGGATTCCACCTTTTCACAATTCGCAATATATAGCATCCTAGTGACCTAATTCTCTCCATGAGCATCCATCCATTCTGCAGATATCACGGAACAGATTCTCTAAGTGATATTGGTTCGTCATGACATCTCTACTGAAGTTCATCAGAAATCACCACAACACCCACAGTCTATTTGAACAGACATAGATACATCAACTCTGTTCAGTGTGTAAACGCCGAACATGTTGAATAATTTTCCAATGTCGATTTGTACTGACTTGACAGATTTGAAGTTGGATTACGAGATGGCATCGTTTAGGAGTCATATCAAGTGAAAGGCGTGGATCACTGAACAGCCATTTCGTCTTCATTCGTGACCACACAGTTGCACGCAATCTACACGCCATGGATTCACGAAGCGTGGACGTTGACTGTTTGACCACTACTAGGGAATTCGATCACCCAAAATATGAGTTCGCTGTGTGGTGAGTTCGTGGGTGTGTGTGCGTGTATATCTGCCACTGAATACTCCTAGATTAAGGCGAAACAACTCTCCGAAACTCACTAGTCTCCAATTCTTCTCCAACTGATGTCACCTCGTCATCTAAATCCAAATTGAAATCAATTACGAGTCCTTGAAACGCAGAGAAACACCTGGAGATTGGCGTAGATCTACTCTGTTTGACGAATAACCTCAAAACACATGCGGACTAGTGTCAACTATGAAAGTCTAATAGGCTGACTAACTCACCAACGAACTAGCTAATTCGCTAACAACAAGAGACATCCTGTTAGACTACTATTCAAATCGATTAATCCAGAGGCATTGTGTTGGAATTTCTAATAACACAATTCTGTATATTATCATACCATCAGTTACCTTTCGACACGGAAGAAATAAACTCTCACTACTTTAATGCATTCACTTTGATCTCGATTACAGCCAAACACGATGCTGAACGATGGAATCAACAATCAACTCGATATGGACAGTTTAACAGAAGTGATACTCAGGACAACGAGGACGAGGAGTGTTTCATCAAATCAGTTACAATTCACATTGACTGATCCTGGAAACTGTCACATTGCTGATTTACATGAACTTAATCTGATTCTGGATAGACGATATTTTCCAGGATTGTTAGCAATGAAGGATGAAAAGCGAAGAAGAGAGGCATGGTGTAATGTGGCTGCAGGAGCTGCAGCTTATGCTTACAAAACAATCGGAAGTGGTTTATCACAGTCGGTGAGAAGGTGGCTAGCGAACGCTGCGTGTTCAGTGATTTTATTTTCTCTACTGGGTGAAGCGGAAAAGCTTGATGAGTCTCATCGACATTCAGATATTGACTACGCCTTCTCTCCACATCAAGACGTTGATAGTGAATTTGCCGGTTACGTTGGTCATGCTCATGGTGATGATGAGGATGAAGAAGTTGAAAATGGTGGTCGTGATGATGGTGATGTTGATGATGACAACAATGGGAGTGATTGGAGTCCTCCGACTGTCCAACAGACAGACGAAGAATCAGCACCACCATCAACAAAGACGTATGTTCCGGATGGAAGTTGGATTTACGGCGAATGGACAGAGAGTAATATTGCCAGCGCTGAGGAGATGGAGACAGTCATACAACCCGAAATGTTGGATGATTGTGTCACAGTGATGATTGCATCAGTCGTCTGCTTCTTCCGTGAAGGTCAGTACATTCCCCATCGAAGAAATGCCGACTATCCAATGCAAATCATTCAGAGTAACATGATGAATAAATATGGAGTAGTTGAGGAGTGTGACAAACTCTTCCTCATGTATACAACTGGCAGATGGATATCGAAATTAAACATTCTAACATCGGTCATGAAACACTGGAGTGGTACGACTAAAGTACGTGCTGTGCGTACATTCGGTCTAGGAGTGTTATATATGCCTGAAATCGTAATCGAATGCTTTCGTGGTGTACCAGGTGGATGGACTGATGTCTATCTAGTCGACTGTATCGCTGAGAAGTTGGTCACATCAAGATGCATCAAATACTTCAGTGACTACACGTCTTTGATATCACACAGGAAATTGGTTCACACACTATCCAACGATCCAATATACCACCACGCAGAGAGTAAATCACTAACAGATCAGAAATGTTACTTAGAGAAAGCCGATATTCCGTGTTTGTATGGTCGACTAATCACCTTCTTGAAGTATGCTGAACCTGACAGCGAACTGTTCACCTATCCTCAATTGAAGATTTTCGGTGAGACACGTGAACAATACTACGAGGATTACTGTGCGAAATGGGAGTCCATAGTGAAGTATATTTACTCGAGAGATATTGATTCGTCTCATACCTTTGATTCTGATGTATTGGATGGTGAATTGAAACAATTCAATCTTGTACATGATTGTGACAGAAATCTCCTCAATTTCTGTTTTCAAGTTTATGGTGTACATACATAGTTTATACTTGTATTTGTATTTGTTTCTCTAATATATATTATAATCTGTTATCCTGAGTTAATTCCTACCTCCCTTCGATTCATTACAGTCCATCGAGTTGCTACGTCTCTTTTGACACGTCGCCTTCTGTGATATCTGGAGATTATCGAAATGTTGTTTGGTTGTTGGTTGTGGCTTGATGTGAAATCCGATGATCGTCGTTTCGTCGTGTTTGTCTGTATTCAATTGGGCATCCCATCGTCATCTCCACTCAGTGATAGCGTTATCACCAGGACTCGAATCAAGCAGACACAGTTCCAAACGCCGAAGCATCATCCTCTAGTTCACTGTGCCGCGAGCGAGCGAGTGTCATCCCTTGTGTAACGAGTATCCGTTGTCATTTGTTTAGCTCACTCTCTGTGTTCCCCGTCGATTGATTTGTGCTGAAAGTAAAATGCTTTCATCATGGGTGAATAGGAACACCATCACCGAGTGTGGTGCAGACGTGTCCGTGTCCTGTTGACGAGTTCGAATTATGATGGAATATGTGTTATCCTTGTGAGGTAGGTGTGCGATATAGTGGTTGACATCCAGTCTGTAAATAAATCAATCAGAATTTCTCCCACGTGTAATTTTAGCGACCAAGTTTATTTGGTTATGACCTGAACGCAATAAACTGACCTACATGTCCTACTGTATAGCATGGCTGACAAAACTTCCTTGAGACACGCGCTACCACAAAACGTTCCCAAGTCACTGAATAGAAGATTATTCTTCAATATTTTAGCCTTCCCATCAAACATTAATAACACTAACATGAAACTGAAATTCAAATGAACAGTGAAGCTGTGAAGCAGTTGGCTGGATATATAGACGGTGTAGGCTTCTAAATACAAAACAAGTACTGTAAGTGTTATGACGTTGGATCCTTTGTCACGCGGTCACTGCTTAACTACTGACCAGTACCCACTTAACTGGTAAAGCAGAACACGAAGAGAATCAACTGTAAAACCAGGTTCCTTTATTATGACAAAATTGACTGTATTTATACAGAAAATAAGGTAGACTGGAAATCAACCAATCCGGTTGAGAGTTTGAATTGTGCAAACGTCCAATCAGAAGCAGGAACAATTGCATATCAACGACTTGTTAATAACGCGATAATAACTTGACTGATGACCTGATAATTGCATGTTTTGCCTCTTCCTAACACCTCCCCTTTTCAAGATAGGGCTACCGCTAGCTTTTGTATCGCGGAATCACTTGTAGGTACTTTGGTGGTCTTGGTTGTCGTTGTAATCTCCTTGGCTGTTGGGACACTTTGCCTTTGTTTCAACTATTTTGTCCATGTGACGTTTTCGGATCCGTCGTATCTATCAATAGCTCAAATTGTACGTCGGCGAACTTGGAATCGTTCAACTGTTTACCAACTAGTCTATTTCTTATTTGATTGGCATGCCTGACCCAAATAAGGTCTCCAACCTTGACCTTGTAAATGACTTGGCCTTTACTTCCAACGATCACTCCAGAAACCCATGGGCGATCTCTCCGTATATAATCACGAACCAGTACCGACTGACCAACCATGAAACTTCTTTGCTTGGTGCCATGACGTCTATTGAACCAAAATTCACTATTTCGACCACATTTGCTCCGTCTTGACGGGATCGGGATAATTGTATCTAAAGAAGTACGTAATCTTCTTCTAAACATAACCTCTGCGGGAGATGCTTGATTTGGGCATGATGGGTTGGTTGTGGTTCGATAAATGAAGAGGAAATTGTGCAATACATCCTCTATCGATCCCTCCCCGTTTGACTTCTGAAGTGCGCGCTTGAGTATATCAACAAAACGCTCTGCTTGTCCATTTGACTGAGGATGGTAAGGCGGGCTGCGAATATGTTGAACACCTAGCCGCTCACAAAACTGTTTGAATTGTTCAGCTGTAAACTGAGGTCCATTATCGGAAACGATGATCTCTGGAACGCCAAATCTGCTGAAAAGCTGAACCAACTTATTTAATGTCATCTTCACTGTGGTATTTTGCATAATGAAAACCTCCGGCCACTTGGAATACGCGTCAATTACCACGAGAAAGTGTCTGCCATTGATTGGGCCGGCAAACTCTATGTGGATTCTTGACCACGGTTTTCCTGGGCTGGGCCACGGCTGTAGGTCTGTCTTGATAGGCATTTTCAAAGCCTGACCACAGCGAGAACATGAGCGAACCATCACTTCTAATTCACGATCGATATTTGGCCAGTAGACGTAACAGCGTGCCAACGATTTCATACGGCTAATACCAGGATGCGTTAAATGTAGTTGACTCATGACTTTTTGTTGGAGACTTCGAGGCACGACCACACGTTCGCCAAACATAATGCAGTCACTGACCAGGGATAACGAATGTCGTCGTTGATAGAACTGTTTTAAATCTGGACAATCAATACGCGAAGGCCAGCCACAACGCAGATACTGTTGAACTGACTGTAATGTCGGGTCACGCTGCGTCTCTTGTTGAACCATGTCGGCTGAGACAGGTAAAGTGTTTATTGCCGTCATCAATACGTGACACACGTCTTCATCGACAGAAACGCCGGCGATCACAGCATCCTCCTTCGCGGTTGAGTTCGGATGCATCAACATTTTGGTAGGACTATCTGAGCACTGTACATTGGAACAAACTGAGTTCAGTTGGACATCCCAGAGTTTCATCTTTTTGATCCAGTCAATACCAAGCAAGTTCAAGTCATGACGATTAGTGATGTAGCATGTTCCTTGGAACGAGGTCGACCGGAAAGTTACGTCGCATTCAATCTGGCGAGATAATTTCATTACGTCACCCGACGCGTTTCTTGTAGTATGCTCCGTTCTCTGATAAGGTGGACACCCCAGTGCCCGCCACGTTTGGGGAGATATGATTGTGATATCTGAAGCAGTATCTAACTGTAGTCGAACTGGCTTCTGGTTGATAGAAAGTGTGACGAACTTTCTTTTTGACTCGAAATCAACTTTGAAGGTAGCGAACATACTGCTGATTTGAGGTTTCGTCGACCGAGATCGAAACTTTCGTGACTGTGCCATCGTATCGTGAGATCGGATTGATCTAGGTTTCACTGGGGGACAAAATCCTTCCTTGTGACCATACTTGTTACAGATACTGCATTTATGTCTTTTATACGGGCCAAATTTACCAAAATGCCACGATCCACAAAACCAACAATTTGTGGGAGGCTTGTGTTTGACTTGCGGAGAATTGTTTGACTTGACAGCCTGAACAGAAGTAAACTCATGAACTTGACTGTCCTCAATCAACTTCGTGTCATGTTTTAGATTGATGATTCGCTGGCACTCAGCAGTTACCTCCTGTAAAGTCATGTCCGGATTGCGTTCAATCTCTGCAAGGATTCCGGTACGAATATCACTGTCAAGTGAAGATTTGAGACCGCAGACAAAGATCAGGCATTTAAACTGGTCATCCGTAAGTGATCGAATTTTCGACCGCTCGCATTGACGATTCAGCTTACCAGCATAGGTGAGAATATCATCTCCTGGATCTTTGGATATCTTGAAACAATTGTAACGGATACTGAAGAGAGATAACTGTTCACCGAAAATATTGGTTAACGTTTGAACGGTTTCTTCAAAGTTGAGTTCTCTGGAGTTCTTTGGTAGAATATGATTGACATATTTATTATGTTCGGCTGGACCAAGTTTCCGAAGGAGTAGTCTCACTTTGGCCGAATCATCTAGGTGAGCGCATTCAATCCGGAACAGATCTTCATAACGTCGAAACCAAGCTTCAAAAGTCACACCTGTTGAAGGTTCGAAATTGAACTCTACAATTGAACTCCCAATAGATTCGGTTTTCTCTGAGTTGGAACTGCTGAGATTTTGAATTGAAAACTGCTTTGTAAGTTTTTCAATCAAGCTGAGCTGGCAAGCTTCAAACTGTTGCTGTTGTTGATGAAGGAGAAGTTGCATTTGTTCAAATGAAATTGTCATTTGGAAGACAGGCTGGATGTACACTGGATGATCTGGGTTTTATTTGACTGTATTGAACTGCAATGGATTCGAAACCCCGTCGCCAATTGTTATGATGCTGGATCCTTTGTCACGCGGTCACTGCTTAACTACTGACCAGTACCCACTTAACTGGTAAAGCAGAACACGAAGAGAATCAACTGTAAAACCAGGTTCCTTTATTATGACAAAATTGACTGTATTTATACAGAAAATAAGGTAGACTGGAAATCAACCAATCCGGTTGAGAGTTTGAATTGTGCAAACGTCCAATCAGAAGCAGGAACAATTGCATATCAACGACTTGTTAATAACGCGATAATAACTTGACTGATGACCTGATAATTGCATGTTTTGCCTCTTCCTAACAGTATGACGCAGTTAGTTAACTGAGGTTCAACTGTAAGAGGTGCTGCATACATTTATTCCCCTGTTTGACTTTCAACAAATTGAACATAAAGCTTTGTGCAGAATATTTTGAGGCCATCAATCATATATTTTTGGATTCTCTTAAGCTGCTTACGACCTGAAATTTGATTATGTAAATGTACACGGACGGAATTTTTTGTCATGCGTTCAAGGATGCAGATGATTTTTCGAACAACATAGACAAATGCTAAGAAACAGCATTCAGGAGTTCCACCTATATATAAATTATGAATGAGGTGAATGGTCAGATACACTAAAAATTGAGTTACGCAGTCAAGACGAGAAGAGAAGGATTGATGATGGGTAATGATGATGTGATGAAGAAAATAAATGATGGCCTGATATTATTCTGCACCGACATTTGTTTTTACTTTTGTAAGAGGTACCTTAAAATCGAGAAGGATATTCCCAACGAGGAGCGGTCAAAGGCTCTGCTGTCCACAATAATCACACACACACACCAACGCTTCCCTCAGACAGACAGTCCCGAGTCAGAATCACCTATAATTCCTCGCTCAAACAAACTCATATCGTTAAGCAACAGGTTGTCAATGTACACAACCACAAACATGTGATACAATTAAAGATTGAAGAAGGACAAAGGCAAATAATAGAG